AACAGTATATTTTGCTTAGCTGCACATCCTTCTTTGCACGAAAAACTTGTGCACTTAACCGAAAAAGGCACTTAAGCGAATTTTCTTTACTACTTCAATGAGGAAGGTATCCAAATTCCAATGAAACCAAATAATAGAGAAGCACTTACCACGTAGAAATCACTGCAAGCGAAATTTTTACCGAATAGTATCTAATTATCTATATAACTACATAAATTTATAGCCATTTTCGTTGTTCTGCGAGATGAACAAAATAAATAAAAAGTTATAAAATTAGGTAATTGTAGGTCCAGTGCAGGTAAACGTAATACTTTCTTTGATAATTGATACTAGTCGCACAATTTTTAAGGCAGGTATCGGCAATGTGCAGGTATGCTAAATGCATCTATCGGAGCAGTTTCCTTAAAAATAATGCCTCTGATACGCATTTTGGGGTAGGTATCTTAAATGTGCACTTAAGCATAGAGGCAGCAAAGCAAAATATACTGTAACACAGTCCGACATGAAAATTTTCTCAGAGATAAGACTAGCCATTTCTAATAGATTTTGGAGCACTAAATTTGTAAAAATAAAAACTTGCATATTTGAATTTTAATAAAATAAGGCGAAGAGCAAAATCGGCTAAAAGCGGCTAATTTTTTTTGCAAAACGGCTAACAAATCGGTTGCCGGCTAAATCGAATTTTTTCCGGCTGTTTGCTGTCTCAACCGGCTAAATCTAGCCGGATAACGGCTAAAATGGCAACGCTGCTTGTATGAAAATGTATATAGCAGGGGTGGGCAAGGCCGCGGCCGAAAAGAAAGTTCTAAATGCTACAAAGAGCCACAAAAAAGAACAAGGAAAACGAAAATTTTATTTTTAAATAAAATTATTATTAGAAATGAAAAACATTAATTTTATTATTATTCAATTGTACGTAAGATAGATATAAAAGAAAATTCAAAAGATCCCTTTGGTGTGATTTTCAAAATCTGGTTTTAGATCAGTTAAAGCCGTTCGTAACA